ACAAACCAGCTCGTGCACGCGCCCTCATGCAGTTGCGCTGCCGTTCGTAGGCTGTAGGCCGTTTGCGAAATGCGGGATGCGGACAGGCCCATGCACGAGCCCAGTTCGCACACCTGCAGCGTCACATGATCCCCTTATTGGGTCTGAAAGGAGCTAAATCAGGCAGCGCCTTTTTGCGCATTACATGCTGTTCAATAGCTTTTACAGGTAGCAATAGAATTTTCCAGGACAAGTGGCATTTATAACGCAGCCCGCATGAGCGGGTAAGACGCGCGCAAGTCGCGCCTGCGCAGCTGCCAGCCACGCCGGCCAAACGGCTGCACGAGCCGCGACGTGGCAAACGACAAGGGTTGAAAGGGCACGAAAGACCATGAAATACAGCATGTGCGGCCGCATTGCCACCTGATTCGGCAACTGCAGAACAACGGGGAAGTCGCGGTCACCGCGGGCATCCCCGCGTTGACAAGTACGCATTTCGGCGTGTAAAGGTTGAAAGGAAATCAAAAATACATTTAAGCGCACATGTCCCAGACGCGCGTTGAGACCTGAGAGTTGGTAGAGCGAGGGCTGCGCGAGGGTGTCCACGACGCCCAGGGCGTTGAGCACATCGCACCCAGCTGCGGCGTCAGCGCCCCGCTGCGGGACTCGCCCCGTAACCAGGGTCCAGTGCACGCGCAATTCACAAATGGCTGTTCTGGCCCTGGCCCGTCGCGGGCGGTGCTGACGCCGCGCGCAGTCGTCCGCCGCCAACACAACAGCAGCAGGCCGCCGGCCCAAGCGCGCGCGTCTCGCCTTCGCTGTCGCTGCTGCTGGGGACACCAGAGGTGACTAGGTCGCTGTTGCCCGGCAACCACCGGTCCGGGTTGGTCCCCTTAGCTGCCAGTTCTGTTCATGCGAGCGACGCCTGCTCCCCTGCTCCCCCGCCCGCGCACGCGGCCGTGCCCACGGGCATGCTGGCGACGCGCCTCACTGCCCTCGCCAACAATTGCTTGGCACTGCCTGGAAGACAAAGTCACCGAGGCGGCTGCAGCTGCGTTCATGCGCACGCGCCGCACCCTGCCAATGCCCGCGCGGCGCTGGTGCTGCGAGCCGCATGAATCTGCCTGCTGCCGCGTTGTGTTTGTCTTCACTCTCTGCAACAACGTGGGGAGGGAATTTTCTGAGAAGAGGGCCGAGGAGAGGGCGGAGTGGACCACCCTACACTGGCATTGCTGCGCACCTGCCAGGCGACGCCGACGTTGAGGCGGCGCTTGTCAATGCACGTGCACACCTCCACCGACAGAT